AGCACCCCCGGCTCCGCTGGTGCGAGACGGCGCGGGAGGCGGCTGCGAGGCTCACGCTCCGCTGTGCCCGTGGCCTGGCCTGAAACACCCAGTCAGAGTCTCTGAGGTGTCCTTTGGCAGCTTATTGTTGTTGGGTTTTTGGCACAGGACTTACATATTTTACTAGTTTCCAGAGCACCAAATTGGCATATGAAAGCTGCATAAGGGCCCAAAATACATCACCCAAACAGCAACCAAAAAAAACGATACTATTTCAAAACACAACTTCCACAAGAAAATGCATCTGGTGTTGGAACTCAACAGAAAAAAAATGCACTTTAAAGGCAGATAAAAAAGTCATGGCAAGATCATCTCAGAAAGTACCAGATCTTACATGACAAAGCAGAGGAGAATGGGGAAGGAAGAGCCCTACCAACACAGCTGGAGGTACCAGCTCGTCCCCCTTCACCTGCGAGGGAGGCTGCTGTCTGCCGGCTGTGTTGCGTTGGGGACCTTATCTCCAGAGCAGTAGGGTCTCATGCTTCAGGCCTACCAGTAACTATGCTGAGTGATTAAGTTCCAGTCATCCGCGCAGCTGGCTATGAGCACAGGTCCTAAAATATCCGTATATAACCACTCCTTGACTTGTGGGGCTTTAGGGTTTGGTTTTGGGTGTTGGTTGTTTTGGGGGGTTTTTTTGCACTGTAACTATAGTTAGCATTTTCTCACATATTAGGAAATGCATAGAAAAACTACTAAGAAAACCAACAAAAACCCAGACTCTATGCTTTTCTCCTGAACCGTAACAACATTGTATTAGTTGCTGCCATCCTAAGAATGAGTATCAGAATGACATACACAAAAAATCATAACCACTGACAGACAACACAATCTGGTTTTGAACACATATGTCAACCCAATTAGCAAATCTTAAAGTCTTATCAAGCACTCCTGTAATACACAACATTCTTCTTAGAACTGTACCCACTAGCAAAAAATAGCAAGAAGAATAATTGAACGTAGCACTTCCCTTCTTCCCTCCGAAGCCTCGAAGTCTTGATTTCCAGCAAGGGAAACTAGTATAGAAAAAGATCCTTCTTATCTTGACAGTGACCAACAGTTTCATCTATAGGTCTGCAAAAGTCATCATCATTGGAGACAGAATCTATGGAGTTCATCAGGAATCACCAACAAAACACCAATTAAATTACGTAACTCAATACCTTTTGTTTTTCATATGCTTTAAAAGGGGTACATTTCAAAATTTGTAACTGAAAAAAGCAGCCCAGATACCAATCTTCTTAAAGTAGACTGAAAGACTTGTATTGATTTCAATGTTCTATGTATTAATCCCAAAGAAAACTCTGACAGTTACCCAAGTTACCTCCAGCAAAGATACGCACTCCTGACTCCACTCCATTTGTCTCCCAGCAGTAACGTCCCTATGCAGAGCACACACAGAGTAACCTCTGCGTTTCCCTCTTGGAGCTATCATGGTTAGGGTTTTATGGGATAGAATAGAGTAGAATAGAATATTTCAGTTGGAAGAGACCTACGATGATCATCTAGTCCAACTGCCTGACCACTTCAGGGCTGACCAAGTTAAAGCATGTTATTAAGGGCATTGTCCAAATGCCTCTTAAACACTGACAGGCTTGGGCCATCGACCACCTCTCTAGGAAGCCTGTTCTGGCGTTTGATCACCCTCTCGGTAAAGAAATGCTTCCTAATGTCCAGTCTAAACCTCCCCTGGCGCAGCTTTGAACGATTCCCATGTGTCCCATCACTGGATACCAGGGAGAAGAGATCAGCACCTCCCTCTCCACTTCCCCTCCTCAGGAAGCTGTAGAGAGCAATGAGGTCGCCCCTCAGCCTCCTTTTCTTCGAACTAGACAAGCCCAAAGTCTTTAGCTGCATCTCATAGGACATTCCTTCCAGCCCTTTCACCAGCTTTGTTGCCCTCCTCTGGATGAATTCAAGGACCTTCATATCCTTCTTAAATTTTAGGGCCCAGAACTGCACACAGTATTCAAGGTGAGGCCGCACCAATGCTGAATACAGTGCTAAATACAGTATGCTAAATACAGTAATTTTATCAATTACTAACACCAAGTTTGCTTTCTCTCTAGAGAATCACCAGATATTTTTGTAATTATTATTCACTAAGGACAAGAATAGCAGACAGTACACAAATCACGCACAGAAGAAACGCCACTGGCCCTGAGTGCCACAGCTCAGTGTCTGTACGGTACACTGAGCAAGCCAGAGAACGAGTAATTTGAAAAAATAGTCTTATCTGTATTTACAGTCTCACACTCTTTGAACTACAATATGCAGCAAAGTCAGAGAAGTATAATTATGTGTGGGCAGGATATTAGGCTTATTGTTATGATGCCTTTTGTCTGACGTACAATTATGTTGAGGCTCTGCCTTAGTTATGGGACATGGTTCTCTACCACAGAATAAAGCTGTCTTGTCACTGGGTCTGGTAAAGCTATATTGTGACTAAGACCATCAACTTTACGGTATTTGTAATACCACTAGGTATTCTGTCTCCTTGTCACCAGGATCTTTTTCCAAAGCATGAATATTTTTGTCTACTTTAATCCAACTACTGATGTAAAGAGTACCATTACAGCAACTAGAGTTTGGCATGCATATGAAAACAAGCCTATATTCCACTAAAAAGTAGGAAAAAATATATAACCATAAAGAGACAAAAGAGAAGGAGTAAATATCATGCTATCTGACCTCCTTCTATCCCATGACCATTACTAAGCTGCCCTGCACAAGGAAAATGAACAAAAATATCACTATTGTAACGACCTCGTTTACTCGAGTACCCCATTTTCCCTAAGCCATTCCAGCCTTGGAGGAAAGGATTGCAGCAGCCATGCTATGTAGCACCCTCGCCTTGCAATCAGTACTGGAGGTGGCCAGGTCCCAAATAGAAAGCATCTATTTTAGATGCTCAGCGCATGGGATATCAATATCAAAATCAGCATGAAAACACAACATAGGGCAAATGCTGGATGCAGAATATTGATGTATGACAGATGTTTGCCTTTTCTGTACTTCATTAATGTACATAAATTAGATAATGGAATTAAAATCTCAGAATTTAATTGGAGCGTGTCTATACCAAAGACTTGGGTTTGGTTTTGTTTTAGTAAAATACAAAGTTGATGCTTATATTCTCAACTATGATTAACTCTGAGGCTAAGACAAGCATCTTGCATCACTTTTTGAAAGGATGCTCACGGTCACACCACACCCAGTGACCTGTCATGGGTGCCCACCTTCCAGGGACCCCACACAGGTAGAAGTGAAGAGGATTGGCCCCAAAACAAAGTGGGATGGTTTCTAACATCCACTTTCCAACACAGCAATTCATCGTATCTGAAGGGCCTCAGTACAGCTATTTTTCTGGCTGCTAAGAAACTGGGGCAGTTGTAAAGAGAGAAAACATCCCAGTACTGCTCCAGAGAAGCAGGAGCACAGATTTACAGCATGCTCTTTCCTCTCTTCCTCCTGCAAGGCTGTCAGTCTTTCCTTTCTCCACCAACGGAATAAACATCACTGCAAACCCACAGCTGGTCCTTGGAGTTGTGTCCCAAGTCACTTGGAAGCAATCAAGAGGAGACAAGCCAGCAAGGCCTCCCAGCACTCCTCCTGCAAGCCCTGCCC